TTCTGGCTCAGGTCGTGATCTCTGGGTTGTGAGATCAAGCCCCTGGTTGGGCTCCATGCTCAGCGGGGAGTCTGCTGGAGATTCTCTCTCCCTCTGCCTCTCTCACCTGCTCTGTCTCTAAAATAAATGTGTCTTTTTTTTTTTTTTTAAAGAACTTTTAACTAAACAACAGAGAAAGTCTCCAGTGACAAAATCCCCCAACTGTGATACCCACAGTTCTGGTCCCACCCTTCTTCCCTAACCCTGTCTCAGTTTCATCCTCACCACCTTCTCAGACAACAGAAAAGCAGATGTAACACAAGCCATTAGTATAACAGGCCTAGGAGGAATCAAGGAAAATGTGTTACACATAGAAAGATAAATATAAGGCTCAAACTGAGGTTTCCATTATCAAAAAATAAATAACCTGAAAATAAAAAAGAACAAAATGCCAAAAGGAATAGAGGAAAAATGGTGAAGAAAACCAAGAATTAGAAGCTGAGTTTGCTAATTAGGAATGCTTTTGACTGTAAGTAGCAGAAAAGCCAGCTAACAGCGGCTTAAGCCATGTGGACAACTATTAATTACTTAAGGAGATATGCAATGGTGGGCAGTCCCAAAATTAGTTTGGCGGTTCACTGATTTCATCAAGCATTTCAGCCCTTTTGATCTTTGCATTCTGTCCCCTTCAGTGTATTTGCAGTATTGCTCCTCAAGAGCACGAGTTGGCTGCCACAGCTCTCAGATCCACCTCTGCACTCAACAGTATTCAAAGAATGAAGAGAGAGAGGAATCATGGCCAAGGATATGCCTCTTTTTTTTTTTTTTTTCCGAGAAGACACACTTTCCTAAAAACTCCCAGCTGATTTATCCCAGTATTTCACTGGCCAGAAACAGATCACATGTTCACACCTAAACCAGTCACTGACAAAGGCAAGAGAGTTACTGTAATCCAGAATCTTGGCTGGAAATGCCTATGTCAGAATCAAATTCAGATCTGTTAGCAAAGATGAAAGCAGGAATGGCACTAGGTGGGTAGCCAAAAAAACCCCAGCCATTTACAAAAACAAGTGAAGGGTTGGATTTGGCCCTCAAGCCATAGTTTACAACCCCTGAGTCACCTGTGGGTCTTTTAAACTAAGACTCCAAACTCTTTTAGCCACAAAGGAAATGATTAATACATTCAACTACAAATTAAAAACTTCTACAAGGCGAAAACAACACCTTAAGCAAAGTTGCAAGAAGAATGACAAGCTACACGTAAATATTTGCAACTCTTTTCACAAATGGATAAATCCCTAATACATAACACCTATAGCTCCCCTTTGCTGTCTTTTTCCTCCTCTCCCATCATTACCTTCAGCAGGCCAACATGCTCCTTTCCCCCCATCTTAAAAGACCTTTCTCTCTACCCTATTTCTCTCACCAGTTACTGCCCTGTTTTTTCTACTCCTCTTTGCTCTGAAATTCTCAGGATGACATGTCTCCAATATCTTTCCTTTCTCCTTAAAACCCTGCCAGTCCAAAAGTGCTCTTGTCAGAACCCCATGTTGCTCAAGACAGTGGTCGATTTCAGTCTGTGTCTTACCTTACTTTTCAGCAGCAGCTGAGGCAGACACTCACTTCCTCTTCCTTGAAGAAAAAATTTGCACTTGGCTTCAAGGACATGAACCATCAAATTCTATTTTCCTCCACCTCTCTTGTCCCTCCATCTCAGGCTCTGTTCATTCCTTCTCATCTCCTCATTTCTCAGTGCTGGCTCACTGCAGGACTGGATTGGGGCTCTTGTTTCTTCCCTTACTCGATCCCTTGATAATCTTATCTATTGTCACAGCATTAAATGTCACCTAAAGTCAAACAACTCCTGAGTTTATAACTCAAGGCTAGATCTCTCTCCTTAGCTCCAGATTCGTACATAAAACTGACACCTCTCCTTGAGGTGTAGTAGACAACAAAATCTTTAAGGCGTCTTCAGCAGAACTCCCATTGCCAACACCAAACCTCCAGCTGCAGCAATCCGCATTATAGTTGGAGGAAACCCCATCCTTTCAGTTGCTCAGGCCAAAAATCTGGAATCATTCTTATCTTCATCCCTTTCTCCCTCCCAGGCACATACCTGCCCTAAGGTCTTTACATTAGGTTTTCCTTGGCCTCTGATGTCTCTGGCCCAGTTTTGTTTTGTTTTGTTTTGTTTTGCCTTGACTTATTCTCTCATTTTCTTCAAGTCTTTGCTCAGTGTCACCTTTTCAATGAGACCTGATCTGACCACCTGTGGCATAATAAGTACATTTGGTCTTTGTTCCCAGGTCCTGGTCTAGAGTTCCTAAAACCCTTGTAATTTTTTGAGTGATAAGGGTGATAGGAGCATCTTTTGTTCTTATATTTGGTCTTTAACAATGGGTCCTGACAAAAGAGTTTCTAAGACCCTTGGAATGTCTGAAGTGAGAATCTTTTTGTTTGCTGACCTGCTGACTGGTGGCTTGGGGACCCTAGATAGTTTCAGGATGACGGCTGGTCACCAGAAAGCCAAGGCATGTTTGGAACTTGGAACTTTCAGCTCCACTCCCCCATCCTCCAAGGAGAGGAGAGGGGCTTGAGATTGAGTTAATAATCTTTTAAGTCTAAGTGGGAATGTGTCTAAGATATGGTATTAAATAATAAAATTAAGGTGCTAAACAGTGTGTATGCTCCTTTTGTTTATAAAAAAGGAAAAATATAAGAACATATGTTCATCTTTGCTTTTATTTGCATAAAGAAAGTCAGGAAAGATGCACAAGAAATTAATAAAAATGATTACCTGGGTGAAAGACAGGAAATGGCACAAATGTCGGCACCAAAGGGATATGAGGAAACTTTTGGTGGTGTTGTGTAAGTTCACTAACTTGACTGTGGTGATGAAGTCACAGAGTATGTATGTAAGAATACAACCAATGGAATATTTTAAACACAGATTAGCATAACTCAATTGTATCTCAATAAAGCTGCTAAGGATACATATACATATAAGTAAATAAACTTGATTTTGAAACAAAGGAGAGAAATGGTTCAGCCTCTAGGTGATGCTTGGTTGAATGACTGTCTTTTTGCTTTTGAGGAATTTTGGTTTTGATTTGTTTCTTTCATGGAGCAAACTCAGGCAAATTTATAAGCTATAAGTATATATGTATAAGCATAGAAAACTGTAGAAAAGAGAGGAGGCAATTAATGGAGCAAAGTCCTGAGAGAAGAGATGGAATACTCAGAGCCCAAGGCCAGAGGATGCTGTTGGCACTGGAGGGAAGGGATAAGGTTGTAAGGATACACCTTGGGCACTAGGCTCCATGTTTTAGCCTCTAAATGCTGAACCCTGAGAATCAGCTCTTAGTTTTGGATACCAGTGGCATTATTGTAAGCTAAATTAATCAAATGTCCCCAGTGTTCCCCTCACTCAATAATGGTGCATCTCCTTAGAAGGGATTTCTCCCCAATTCAATGACTCCTTCTAAGGTATGACTGATGTGTATCTATGATACATTCTAAAAATAAGATTATTGAAAACTGGACGGAGTTTTTCCTCTTATCAAGAAAGAGCTCTAAGTCAGAAGGTGCTTTGTTCTAACTTTACCAGACATAAGTACCCTGGAGCAACTCTGAGAGCCCTGATATTTGTGTCCCTGTCATATGTTTGTGCAATATGGAAAGAGAAGCATTCACCTAAGTGAAAGGGATGTGGCCTTCAAAATTTCTAACACATACACACACACAGACACACAGGCAGGGAGAGAGAGAGAATGAGAGAGAACACCGGAGCGCAGAGCTAGCAGAGCTAGCCACGCAGTAATTGATATTTAATTCAGTGCGGTGGAAACAGCACAGAAAGTTTAACAGAATCGCTTGTGATTTTAACATTAAAATAGCTTGTACCTTAACACTTTAATTTCCTAACATGCCATTTTATTTAGAGAGTTGGACTTCCAGTAGTATTCATTCAGGTAACGTTTAAGATAAAAAATCCTGATCCTGTAAAAAAATGGTTTTCTGAATCTTTCATATTCATTCAACAGGTTTAACGTGATGTGCCAATTAATGGTGATTTTTTTTTAATCTGTTTCATTTCAGTGAGAACCCCCATTCTCAAACAACGTTAATGAAAGTATTTGTAACTACCCAAGGGCTAATAAAGGAGAAATTCCTGTTCATTTACCCGGTAGCTTTGGGTCAGAATTTTTCGTTCAATTGCGCTTTAATGGGTGTCCAGATGGTCGAAACGCCGCTCTTTCCCAGCAAAGAGAGAAAGTGGGTTTACCGTGTCCCATTACTGGGGACTTTTCAATCGCCATACTCTTTCAGTCCTGATGGAGCCGTGCTCCTAGCGTTTGGGCGAGTACTTGGGGTGTACTGATCCACTCGAAAAAGAAGCTGGGGAAAGGGACCGAAGCCACAGAAGCCCATTCTAAGACCCTGAGTGGAGGAGGGGGCCATTTGGGAGCCACTAAACTCGGGACCTCGGACAGGCGCCCTGGACCAGTTTTCCGCGCAGGAAGATCTGTGCACCAACTTGTCTCTACTCAGGATTTGTGCCCCGCGCTTCTGCCGCGCGGGTCCCGGAGATGCCCCACCAAGTAGAGGATTCATGTGTCCCCTACCTTGCCACCCATAGAGTTGGTGGTCTCAGTGACAGGCGACACAGTAGATCTGGGCTGCTCGTATCTCAAGCTGGACTAGACGGGGTGTGAAGGAAAGCCGGGTTGGGCGCCGCGTGAGGGCAGGGACTCGGGCTTCGGCCACGCTCGCGTCTCTCCAGGACCCCCCCACCCCCGGCAGGGCCTGGGGTCCAGGAGTTGGGGTGCGGGTGGCCACAGGAGCCGCAGCTCGAGCGACTGCGGCTTCAGCCCCCTCCCCCCGCCCCCGCCAGTCGGGGGCGGGAAGTGGTGGGGTGGGAGTCACCCGAACGTGATTGCCCGAGGCCCCTCCTGCCGCGGCGAGGGAGCGCCATAAAAGCCCTGTTGCGACCTGCTCTCCGCACCCTGTCCGCCGGCACTCACCCCTCGGAGAGGCGCACCTGACTGCAGAGCGCTCGCCGCCCCGCCACGCCCGCCCGCTCGCCCGCCACCGTGAGTGCCACGACCCACTCGGCTTGGGGCGGGAGCGGGGGGACGGCGCCGGCTCACCCTCGGGGGGAGCTCTGGGGCCCCGGGAGGGTCGCGCCCGGCTTCCCAACCCCTGCGCGCCGCGCTCTGTCCTCTCCTGCCCCGACGCGCGGCGTCCGATCTTGGAGACTAAATTCCACTTGCTCCTTCTGGTCCTTTCCGACTGCACCTCCGCCCTGCTCCCATACCCTCCCGGCTGCGCGGTCCCTCTGGGTTATCTTTTGGAGGACTTGGAGGGAGACGCGACCCCAACCCCGGGCAGGTGGCAGTTTCCTCGGGGGTCCCTGCCTGGATGGAGGTTTCCCTGGCAGCTCCCGCTGAGTGAGGGATCACCTTCCCGGATCCTTGGGATCCGAACTGAGACTACTGCCCGGAGGGCAGTTCTCTCCTCTCTCTCCCAAATTGTCACCCCGAAGGAATCTCAGCCATAACTATCTATCTCTTGCAGCAAGACAGACCACAAGCTTTAGAGAAGAAACTTTTCCCCTCCGACGGCGATTTGGGGAAAAGGGTAGGAAGGTGACAATTCCTTAACCTACGGGGAGCAACTTCTACATCTGTTTTTAAAGTATCTAAACTGGCGCCGGCTGGCGCTGGCCCCCAGTCCCGCGCCTCTCGTTGCGCGCGACTCTTGCGTCCAGCGACTTGGACGGAATTTGCGCGGACTTTTCGGGTGGAACAGAGGGATCCGGCCAGGGCAGGTGTTGCCGTTAGTAAGCGGAGTGCTGCTCCGCTTCCTCTAAGGGACTGGGTTGAGCGCGGATTGAGGGGTCGCGAGTGATAGTGGGGAGGGAGACAAGGGAGGGAGGTTCGAGGCGTGTGTCCTTTCCATCCCCACTCTTCTCCGCTGCGCCTCTGTGCCCGCAGATGCTGGGTAGCAAGCGACTGGGGCTCTCCGGACTGACCCTCGCCCTGTCCCTGCTTGTGTGCCTGGGCGCGCTGGCTGAGGCGTACCCCTCCAAGCCAGACAACCCCGGAGAGGACGCGCCGGCGGAGGACATGGCCAGATACTATTCAGCGCTGCGGCACTACATCAACCTCATCACCAGGCAGAGGTGGGTGGGCTCCTCGCGACCGACTCCCGGAGCGCCCTGTCCCACAACCGGAGATCCTGGGGATCTCAGAAGACTGAGACCAGTTTTTTTTCTTGCTTGTATTCCTGGGCAGCACAGTATCAGACACATACTCAGTTCTCAGTGAATAATTGGGTAGGGCACTGAACACTTTCCCTCTGCAACTATAGTTACAAAATCGTGACCCCCCAGATTTAGGCTCCTTAGGCTGTGTGGCTGTCCATCTTCTCCCACTCACTCCCTGCTCTCTTTTGTTCTTAGAGCAGTTGGGGGACTGTTTGGAAACCTGGATGGGAAAGGACCCCCCCCCCAAAAAAAAACAGGTCAGGAGTGCTGGGGGAAGTGCTGTAGGGAGAAGAACGAGCTGAGTGTTGAGAAACTACAACCACCACCACCAACCAGGAAACAGCTGGGTTGCCAAAGACACTGCCAGATTTTCCAAGCTGCCCAGAGCAAAATTGAATGACAGTATTTAGGATAAGACAAATGGAGCTAGTTTCTTTTCTTCTGTACAGTGATTTTTTTTTCCCAGTCTCAGCCCTTTACTTAAAAATCTTGATGCTAATAAAGATTTAGCATGAAAACAGTTGATCTAAAATGCAGACTCTTCCCATCTTCTAGCAGGTGAATTTTGAGAAGGAAGTGCCCACTTAGTGCTTTGTTAAGGAGAAACTAATCACCCTGGGATAAACCCAGGGATTACATGGAATTTGAGAAATTGTAAACTTTATTCTGAATCCTCAGAAAGCTAAAATTAAATGTCATGTTTTCACTCTCAACATCAAATATAAAGCAAAAAAAAAATCACATTCTAACTATAATATAGGATTTAAAATTTGTTCCCAAAATTGGTTCATCTTAGTTCTAAGTCATTCAATATCTTATTTTAATTACTGGTATCAAATGACCTTGATAAGCTAAAAAGGGTGAGCCCTTTAAAAACATTAATGCTAACATGTCTAAATTATATTTTGTAAAGTGTTATTTTTGTTTTTACCATACTTGTTACTGTTTACAAGTCAGGGAATAGTTGGGAAGGATTCAAAGTGGGGAGAATTTATATTTCTTAAATAAAATTTTTTCCCTGTTTCATCAAAAAGGGGTATGACATCCTAAAAAACTTCTGAAAAAGTCCCAGTTTACGTAGAATCAAATACATAAAATGCTGGAATTAAATAGTATTGGTTTGTGAACCTTGAAGTCGGTTCATTTTAATTAGGAAAAAGCAATGATGTTTTATATCCTAGTAGACTTCTCAGAAAGTTAAATGCTTCAAATACTTGCTTATGCTGTAGTATAGACCAGAGAAAAGAACTTGTTCAAATAAAAAATATTAATTTTGTTGTTTATCTAGGAAAAGCTTTGTTGGTTATTTAGTTTGTCAGTTATAACACAGTAGAACTTATTTCTGCAAAGATGATTGCTATAAAGCTTTACTATTGTATAAAAGCTTTAGCATTTCAAAATGTTTCCCTAGGCATTATTTCATTCTGTCTTCACCTCAAAGCTTTGAAGTGAATATAATTATCTCCATTTTACAGGTCATGAATCTAAGAACATTTTAGGAAGGCTTTTCTTTTTAGGGGTGATGAAACTGGAGCACTCCCACTGATTTCCCTCGGACATTGTCACTACCATCAGCATCCAGTGTGATCTCCATCTTTGATGAGGAAAAAATAAAGGGAAGGGACTTGAGTTTCATGGGAAGAGATTCAGGTTAGGTGGGAATGCATTGATTCTGAACCAGAGTTTTCTGTCTCATCTTCACATAAATTCCTTCTTAGAAACCATGAGAGGTTTGTCATCTGCACCCATTGTCTCCATTCCGTACTCTCATTGCCTTCCCAACTCACACACCCAATCCCCACCTGGCTGTATTTTTGAAAATTACGGTGTCATTTGTGAACATGTTTTTATTTGGCACAAATGGTAGTCTGATAACATTCTCTTTGTTCCCTTTTTCTACGCAGTTTTTAAGCTATATGCTCCCGGTCCATTGCTTCTGAAAGCTGCATCGTTTATTCTAGAGCATGAATCTACCACGTGTGGCTTTTACAGTTCCCTAAATCAGTGGTTCTCAACTGGTGCTGACTTTATACTCTAAACATCCTATGATGCCTAGGACAGCCCCCTGCAACAAAGAATTTTCCAGCCCCAAATGTCATATATAGTGCCAAGACTGAGAAACCCAGCCCTAGATTAGTCTTTCTCCATCCTGGTCACACATAGGAATCACCTGGGGAGCTTTCAAAATATACTACTGCTGGGCTTCACCCCTGACCAGTTAAATCAGAGCCTCGGGGGTGGGACCTGGGCTTTACAGAGGTTTTAAAAGCTTCCCAGTTGATACTAATTGAAGCCAGGTTTGAGAATTTTTTTCCCTAGAGACTTCATCTTTGCCAGTTAAAGCATGGTAGAGAAGAAGGATAATCCAGAATTAAGTAGAGAAGGAAGAAAAATGAATGTTGCTGTCCTGTGTGCCACTTTAGGACTGCAAATCCTGCTATTCTAGATTTAGGTTCTTTATTAGTAAATTGGAGAAACTATTAGCCAGTTCTATTCACTGGAGCATGGTGAAGATAAATGAATTGAAGTTGCTCAAGAGTTTTAAGATTAATAAAATTAACTGATGAACAGAATAAATAGGTATAAGCAGCAGTCTATAGTGTGATATCACAACTCCAGAAAATGTTGAGGAAATCTTACAAATGATGGGGGTGGGGGGAGCAGTTTGTTGGTTTTTGCTTCCTTAAGTCCCAAAGGAGCAATAATAGGAAATCTTCCCCCAAAATTTAGATTTAATTGTACTTGATAGATATATCCTCTGATGGCTTTGTTTTGCTGTTTTACCTGGTAGCTAATCAATCCATCCAGGCTAGTTTTTCATTTGTGAACAATATGGCTTCTGGTATACAAGGCCTTTTCTGAGAAAGGGAAAAATATATCTTGGTATAGACTTGTCAGATCCTTTAGCAGTGAGAGACAGACAGATAGGCAAAGACCCATGTACTCACTCACCTGGAGAAATTAGCATATACCACCCTTGCATTCACATATAGTCCTATATCCATATACTGCTCCAGGAGAAAAAAGACCAGTAACATTTCATGGTCTTTCCACGATCTGTGAGATTCCTTTATATTTACGGGGCAGATTAAAATCACAGCATGAGAGAAGGTTTTTAGCTTTTGGTACCCCAAACAAATATGGGAAATACAGGACCAAGGTTTGTTGTTTTCTGTAACAATGAGTGCATTTCAACAGCAGTATCTTCATTTGTGTTTTACTCTGTCACTTTCAAAACATTATGGCTCGCATTGGATTTCCACAAAGACTCCAATTTAAGCATGAGTTATGATTTTATTTTTACAAATGAGAAAACTGAGATTTGAAGACACAGGTGGGTCTAGAACTTCTGTCTCCTGATTTTTTTCCCAGGGCTGTTTCTGAAATATCATCTGGTCTCTTTGTTAAGGTTTAAACTGCTGTGTATCATCAGGACTATAGCCAATTTACTAATTATGGAAACATTTAAAATCATACTGTAATGTATTTTTATTTTCTGTCAGTTATAAAAGTATATCTATGTACTGTTTGTGGTAGTATAAAAAGGCAAGAATTTGACTAGGAATTTTGATTGGTTCAAATATTCTGGTAAATTATTATTTAAGCAAAATTCAAAATCATATTTCTGATAATGTCTGTTTCATATACCTAGATTACTTGTTAACAGATGATCAACCACGTGGGACACTATCTTCCTTTTTTTAAAAAATATTTTTCCTTTTTATGACTATTTCAAATTTGCTTTAAGGACTTTTCTTTTTCTTCTTCTTCTTCTTTTTTTTTTTTTTTTTTAGGTATGGAAAACGATCTAGCCCCGAGACACTGATTTCAGACCTCTTGATGAGAGAAAGCACAGAAAATGTTCCCAGAACTAGGTATGAAAGACTTGTATGGGGACATTGTTGCAGAGCTCAAGATGGCACAAGAGAGGGAAATCCCAGAGGGCTGCCTGGGGTAGGGGTGGGTGGGGACATTGGAATGGGTCTTCCAGACCAGGTAGTATTTGGGCAGAAATGGAGATGGGTCACAGGGCAGTGAGGACCTTTGTTTTCATGTAATAATTTGCAAATCTCTAAACTTCTGTGGGGTATCATTTTCTACCCCAGATTATTTGGTGCTTCTTTGAAAATTTTTAACATAAGTGACTTTTACCTTAAAAAAGACTCTATATAGAATTTCCAACTGGGTTAGAATTGAGAGAACATAGAGTAAGTCCCCATCTCTACATTGAAATGACCAATAGTCCATCTTTGGCGGGGATAATCTTTAGTTTTCATATGGTATTTGGAGTGTCTAGATGTCCTGCATATGTCACTCATGGGTCTTGCTCTAGTCTTCCTCATTTTACATGAAGCTGTAGATAAATCTTGGTGGCAGGGCAGGGGGGAGGGGGGACGTGGGAGGCAGCTATTCTTTACTTTTTGACATATTTTAAGCTCAATATCACATAATAATTTATTGCATTCATGGAATGAATGTTAAGGACATAATATTCTTAGGGACTTGTCTGTGACCTTGGAGGCTTTCTGGGAGTGTGGCCTAGTCTTGGGAAGAGGTGCCTACCAACAGCTGGTGTGAAACACTGTGGACAATGAGCAATGAGTGCTGCTGGAAAGCAGCCCGACCCTCCTCCATTTTCATAACTTCCTGGCTGTTCTGTCCTATCCCTCCTGCCTCTACCCTGAGCAAGATCAAGGGGCACGTAGTTCATCCATTTCTGTGGGAGCTTGTCTGCCTTAAATCCAGAGCTTGACAATGTCAAGAACCAGGTTCCCCAGAAGAGGTCACTAGAACACTTGCTCAGTGAGCATGACTGGCATGTCACTCTTCATTGGGGTTCTCCCCAGAGAACAGAGGGGTGACCTGCTGAGCCACTTACTCCCCCCCCCCAACCATCTCTCTGTTGTCTTGTGAAATGGCCAGCCAGGGCCAAGGTACAGGTCTAGAGTTGTCAGGTTTGTTTTCTCTGAAGGAAACAACAATTTGGACTTGGAATAAAGCTCCAGTACTCTTGTATCTGGAGGTATCAACCCAGATTTAAACAGCAAATGCAAGGGAAGCAGGTGGGAAATTCATAGAGGTTATTTTTAATACTAAACACAGATGCCCTTAAGCTTTCATTGACATGCATGTGATGCTTATTGTGGTAAAAAGTTTAGGGTAGATCTTATGTACTTTCGGTAAGAAAAAGAACCATCCAGACTTAACAACCTTGCTGCTACTGTTTGTTTTGTGGCTTGAAGTCTCACAGTTGGTGCGTGGAATAGAGTTAATTGGACCCTAATGGACAGTCTCAATCATGTGCAGTTAGGAGGAGGCCAAAGTTGACAGCCTTGAAGTTGCCTGTGAAAGCTATTTTATTAAAAAGGGTTTTTTATAAAAATAGCATCTTACTACATAAAAAGCCTTGCAGGAAAACAAAAGAAGCATATTCAGAGTTGTGTAACAATAACTTTCTTGTTACCATTTTGTGTGATTCCTGTAGTTTTGATCTTTAGAAATATTGCAGAGTTCTTCGGTTCCTTTGATACAGAGCCTTTTCAGTACTCTGAGATTTGCCTGAGACTCCTGTGAACATGAGTGAAAGCTACTCAGCTGGGTTTCTGCATATTACGCCACTGTCTTCTGCTCTGATATCCTACATGACCTCCTGTTTAGAGTGCCAACAGGGGCCTTTTCAATAGTTCCTGATCATCTTTCGGTTCAGAACTGAATGTCTCAATTTTGAAAGCCTCCCAGGAAGTTGGGAAGCTTCTCTCACATGCTTTCCTTCTTGTGTTTGACAGGCTGGAAGACCCTTCTATGTGGTGATGGGAAATGAAACTCGCTTTCCAGTCTTTACCTATTTTCAACCCGAATTTCATCCTGTAAAACTAGAGTCTGCCGATCCTCTCAATGCATGCAGCCACTGTGTTCAACTCTGCAGAGTTTCCCTTTGTCATCCTTGTATATATGTGTGTTTAAATAAAGTACCAAGCATTCAAAAATGTTATGTTCCTCAATGAAAAAGTCTGTGGGTGCAATAGTGAGAATTATTTTAAGGTATTCATTACATCACAATCTCCCTCGAGTAGCAGGTTCAAAGTTTGCTTCACCAATATTAAAACAGTGACTATGGACAATATAAAGATATGATGATTTATGATGATCAAGATTCAGCTCTGTGTGTGTGTGTGTGTGTGTGTGTGTGTGTGTGTGTGTGTGTGTAACAATAGAAGTATTTAGAAACTTGGAGCAAGTGCATGCTAATTTGGAATAATTGGCTGAACTTTCCCCCACATGCACATGAAATCCCTGTTAACCTTGTTAACCTATACTATTAGCAAAAAGGACTGCTGTCTAATAGAACTTTCTGCAAGATGTCCTTTAATATAGTAGCCACTAGCCATGTGTGGCTTTGAGCATGTGCATGTAGCAAGTGCAAATGAGGAGCTGAGTTTTAAATTTTACTGGGTTTTAATTTCAATAGTCACATGTTTCTAGCAGCTATCATATCAGACAGCTTAGATCCATACATTTTTTGGGGCCACTACACTTAGAATTTGAGTCCTAAACAGAAATGCACTGAGTAAGAATGACTACCTTTTCACACAACATGGGGTATGTTAATTAATTCGGCTAAAGGTTATTAAACTTTCCCCCTCCTTCACGTACCTACGCATGGGCTTAGTTTTAAATTTATGTTATTAGATTCTTACATGTAATTTCTAAAGCAAAGAAAATGGGTCTCCTCCTATATTTGTACTTTGAATCTCCCTGTAAAAAATATTTTTATGTGCTGTTTTAAAATTGATTACACAACTCCCATATACATCCCATCTTACGGAATCTTAGAGTATATAAAATGTTCTCTGTATATAATGAATTCTGTTTCTTCAGCCACTGAAGTCAGTGACACTACAAAACATAATTCCCTTCAATGAAAGCGCTCTGCGATTTTCCTAAATTTGTCCTTATTTTTGTTTCTTTGGGCTTTGAACTAAATATCCTTATCTGCAGTTTTGCCTTCCGCAGTTTCGATTACCTGCGGACAATTGCTGTCTGGAAGGAGATGCTCCTCCTTCTGACGAATCATCAGACGGTCACTAGTAGCCTAACTTTACGTCACAGCGCCCACGTCATTTCCCTCACTTCATCTCGTCCCGTAGGCGTTTTGTCATCTCCCATCTCGCAAGAAGAATAAGGGTGAGTACAGCATAGTAAAATATTTAGAGAGAGAGAGGTCACGTTCACATAACTTTTATTACGGTATATTATCAGTGTTCTATTTCATTATTAGTCATTTTTATTAATTTCTTACTGTGCCTACCTTATGAATGAAACTTTATTATACTTACGTATGTATAGGAAAAAACGGTCTCTGTAGGGTTTGGTACTCTCCACGGTTTCAGGCATCCACTGGGGGTCCTGGAATGTATCCTCCCCTCCCCTCCACCTGGATAAAGGCAGGCGGGGGTGGGGGGAGGTAGGGGACTACTGCACCAATATGTAAAGTGTTTTTGTAATCTTAAAATGTTGAGTAAGTCACCATTTCTTATCACATAACATCAAAAGTTCTTTACTAACCTAGTATATTTGGAGATTTTCTTTACTGAAATTAATATGATGCAAAACAAGTTGACTGAAAGATTCATTTGGCAGCACAGGTAATCTGAATATTCATCACCAATTTCAGAACTCTCGGTTTCACAGAGCAGAGCAAATAGGAAGGAGGTATATAAACCCTTGAAAAATGACCTGGGAATTTCATTTTAAAACAAAAGTTTAAACCTCTTACCTACCAAATGTAAGTGCCCCAAAGGCTAAATATTAGACAGTCTATATTTTACCTATAAATCAGGCCTTGGTATCTCACGTCTTCACCTCATCTTACTAGAAAGAGGCCTGAAGCTTCACACCACGTGAGCCCTGTGGTCTGACACAGCGGCCTCCAGGCCATCGGACCTTCAAATTTACTAAATTTCTGAGTTCTCACTCATGAGATGGGATCATAAATCCTACCCGACTTTCCACATAAGTTTATACTGAGATCAGAATTCAAGTTAAGATAATGTTACAAGTAAGTAATGGTAGGGGAATGGATAAGGATGAAGTTTTTGATAATTCTCGTGTTGGATTATAACTCCCTGGCTGGAGACTGAATGTTTGTATCCTTTCAGATTTATATGTTGCAATCCTAATCCCCAAAGTGATGGCATTTGGAGGTAGGGTCTTTAGGGGGGTTGATTAGGTCACGAGAGTGAAGCTCTCATGAATGGGATTAAGTGTCCTTTTTAAAAGGGACTCCAGAGAGCTCCGTTATCCCTTCCATCATGTGAGGACACAGTGAAGATATGGTTGTCTATGAACCAGGAGGTAGGCCCTCAGCAGACACCAGGTCTACTGGTGCCTTGATCTTGGACTTCCCAGCCTCCAGAACTGTGAGCAATAAATTTCTGTTGTTTTTAAGCCACTCATCTATGGTAATTTGCTATAGCAGCCCAAATAGACTAAGATATCGCTAATAAACAAGAATTCACTTTAAGAAATACAATAGTGGTGAACATTTATAAATTGCAAAACTACATTCCAGGAGACTCTCTAGTAATATTTTTCAAACATTTTCAGCCACCTGACCCTCCTTGGAATAAGAGTAAATGTACCAGATCACCCATCTGTCATTGCAAGTAATAATAATCCTTACTAGAGTTACTAAGAACAACTGAACCTTCATTAAAATGAGATGCCTGTAAGCAACATCATCATTATCTAGTAAATCTCCAAGCATTTATTGAGGTCTCTGCTGATCCAAACTTGGTTCTACATTCTAAGAGGTATAAATTATGCATAAGATTTTTACAGATGCCATTGTATTTTTTATTTTGTTGCTTACAATGCCATGACGTACTCAGATGATTCCTCCATTTTCATAGAAGAGGAAACTGAGGCCTAGGGAAAGTAACTGACTTTCCCCACCTAATTCAAGGTAGGGAGACTAGATAGCAGTTCCTCTATTTGCCAACTTTGCCCTCCTGATGATGTTTCATGGAAGAAGTCAGTCGACAGCAGTCGACACAGACTAGTTAAGAACGTAACTCTAGCATACTTAAAACAAATTGAGAATAGCAAAGTACTAAATTGTGCAAAAGGCATTTAGAAAAGGAAATGAGTGTGGACAGAATTAGCTGGAAAAAGCTTAAAAGAGAATGAGGATGTTGAGCTGGGTGAACACAGGTGAGTCAGCCTGAGTTTGTGTAGGGAATGGTCAGGGGACTACCTTATAGGAACAGAGGCAGGGTGGCCAGGAGTTGGGTCAATGAAGTAGGTCCAAGAATGGCCAAACTCATTCATACGTTCATTCATCCACTCAACAGTTTTTGAGTACCTACTATGTATCGGACATTGTACTAAGCACTGGGGATAACAAGATCAATAATAGTTTTTTGAGGAATTTACCATCTAATGAGGGAGGCAGATATTTACAGTGTATTATTGGAAGTGCAAAGATAGGATTGTTAGAGGTTTGGGATATAGTTAGGTGCTAGAACCTACCCACTTATCATGCTTCCCTTTGCATTTTCCCTGACAAAGGAACTGTAGATATAAGAATCAACTGCCAAAATGGTAACAAAGTGTCAGATGGGCAAGTATCCAATGAGGCCAAATGCAGGGTTGCCCTAAGCTGAATCAGGGCCTCTGGCTAAGGCCTGAGCTTCTAAAGTACCCCTGTACCCCGTCAACATCTCAGCCTCCTGGTGCAGCATGACAGGAATAGTAAGGTCTGTGGGGCAGATGCTCAGATCCACTTAGCCCAACAGGTGCATAGACAAGAAGAGCCAGCCTGCCACATCTAGCAGTAGATGGAAGGAGGGACATCGCTAAATGCAAATTACTTCAGACACAGTGTCCTGGCCCACAGTGCACTGTGGTTAATGAATCCATCAGATTCCATCAAGCAAAGGGGCGTAGGGATGAGAATAGAGGAAGGGGCCCTTCACAGCCGTTATTTCCCATTTCAGGGGCAGAGATATCTCCTCCCTCTCTAACAAGAAGTGGGCAGGAGATGTTACAGGAGCCATGAAGGGGCTCCTGCCCAAGGTTGGGGAGAGTGGAGGAAGCAGACCAAACTTCCTGGAGCTACAGACACTTGAGCTGAGGTTCAAAGCAGGCGTACCCACTGCCAGACGAGAAATGCAAGATAAGAGTAGAAGAAAAGCAGGTATGAGAGAGAAATTTATATACTTTGAGTGCTTTTTAATTAATCTTGATGCCTATACTTTGAATTTGACGACATGCTAGGCCTGGACCACTGGGTTACTGTTCTGAAGGGAAGATCCCATTTGGGATGAAAGCAAGTCCCGTCTCCAGCGTTCTTCTCTCCGGCATTTCTCCCTTTTTCCAATCCCACCTGCTTTTCCATAGACTGGCTCCAGGGGCAGACTGGTGCCTCTAATAATATTCTTCATTCAGCCAAATTAGGACTGGACTTCTCACCCTGAGATGTCTTAACTATGATCTAATTAACAAATTTGTAAATTCAGAGAATAAATACTATAGGGTTGGCTCACCCTCCCTAATTCAGGAAGGAAAGGACTCACTATTTCTTTCGCAACATTTTGACTTTCTTAGTATCTACTAGCCTCTTCCCCCGGTCTGGATGTCAGGACAGAGGAGCAGATATAAAGGGCACAAAAAATCAGCACTGGATTAGGATTTGCACGCTGTGGTACAGTGCTTTCTGCTAAGTAAAGATGCCTGATGCACTATACAGAGCTAGGCCCACATGCAGGCTTGATGGCCTTGCTGAAAGCAAATATGATGGCAGTTCATTGTTCCCTCTTGCTTTCCAATACACATGCATTATGTTTAGATGGTTACTTACCACTCTGAGGCAACAGAAAAAAATATTTTTTTTCTCCTCCTTGCAGAACATTGGGATCAGTTACAATGCTCAGAACTAAACAAATACCTTTTCTATCACCATAAAGGAAAATTGCCTTTTGAATGA